ATTAGGTTTGGAGATACATGCGAAAAACATGCAAGATTGTTGCATAGGTACACACGTGGCAGTGATTTACTGCCTTCCTCTCCATCACCTACATCTGGCATCTCTCCCCCTGCTCTCTCTCCCCAAGTCCCCACCCCCCACCGTCCCTCCCCTATTTCCCCACAACTGACCCCAGTGTGTAGTGCTCCCCTCCCTGTGTCCATGTGTTCTCATTGTTCAACACCCGCCTGTGAGTGAGAACATGCGGTGTTTGATCTTCTGCTCTTCTGTCAGTTTGCTGAGAATGATGGTTTCCAGGTTCATCCGTGTCCCTACAAAGCACACAAATGCATCATTTTTGATGGCTGCATAATATTCCATGGTGTATATGTGCCACATTTTCCCTGTCCATTCTATCATCGATGGGCATTTGGGTTGGTTCCAGGTCTTTGCTATTGTAAACAGTGCTGCAGTGAACATTCGTGTGCACATGTCCTTATAGTAGAACGATTTATAATTCTTTGGATATACACCCAGTAATGGGATTGCTGGGTCAAATGGAATTTCTATTTCTAGGTCCTTGAGGAATCGCCACACTGTCTTCCACAATGGTTGAACTAATTGACACTCCCACCAACAGTGTAAAAGTGTTCCTATTTCTCCACATCCTCTCCAGCATCTGTTGTCTCCAGATTTTTTAATGATTGCCATTCTAACTGGCATGAGATGGTATCTCAATGTAGTTTTGATTTGCATTTCTCTGATGACCAGTGATGATGAGCATTTTTTCATATGTTTGTTGGCCTCATGTATGTCTTCTTTTGTAAAGTATCTGTTCATATCCTTTGCTCACTTTTGAATGGGCTTGTTTGTTTTTTTCTTGTAAATTTGTTTTAGTTCTTTATAAATTCTGGATATCAGCCCTTTGTCAGATGGGTAAACTGCAAAAATTTCTTCCCATTCTGTTGGTTGCCGATTAACTCTAATGACTGTTTCTTTTGCTGTGCAGAAGCTGTGGAGTTTGATTAGGTCCCATTTGTATATTTTGGCTTTTGTTGTCAATGCTTTTGGTGTTTTGGTCATGAAGTCCTTGCCTACGCCTATGTCCTGAATGGTTTTGCCTAGATTTTCTTCTGGGGTTTTTATGGTGTTAGGTCTTATGTTTAAGTCTTTAATCCATCTGGAGTTATTAATTTTAGTGTAAGGTGTCGGGAAGGGGTCCAGTTTCTGCTTTCTGCACATGGCTAGCCAGTTTTCCCAACACCGTTTATTAAACAGGAAATCCTTTCCCCATTGCTTGTTTTTGTCTGGTTTGTCAAAGATCAGATGGTTGTAGATATGTTGTGTTGCCTCCGAGACCTCTGTTCTGTTCCTTTGGTCTATATCTCTGTTTTGTTACCAGTACTGTGCTGGTTTGATTACTGTAGCCTTATAGTATAGTTTGATGCCTCCCGCTGGTAGTGTGATGCCTCCCGCTTTGTTCTTTTTGCTTAGAACTGACTTGGCTATGCGGGCTCTCTTTTGGTTCCATATGAAGTTTAAGGTGTTTTTTTCCAGTTCTGTGAAGAAGGTCATTGGTAGCTTGATGGGGATAGTGTTGAATCTGTAAATTACTTTGGGCAGTATGGCCATTTTCACGATATTGATTCTTCCTAACCATGAACATGGAATGTTTCTCCATCTATTTGTGTCCTCTCTTATTTTGTTGAGCAGTGGTTTGTAGTTCTCCTTGAAGAGGTCCTTTACGTTCCTTCTTAGTTGTATTCCTAGGTATGTTATTCTCTTTGTGGCAATTGTGAATGGCAGTTCATTCTTGATTTGGCTTTCTTTAAGTCTGTTATTGGTGAATAGGACTGCATGTGATTTTTGCACATTGATTTTTGTATCCTGAGACTTTGCTGAAGTTGCTTATCGGTTTCAGTAGATTTTGGGCTGAGACGATGGGGTCTTCTACATATACAGTCATGTCATCTGCAAATAGAGACAATTTGACTTCCTCCTTTCCTATTTGAATACCCTTTATTTCTTTTTCTTGCCTGATTGCTCTGGCTAGAACTTCCAGTACTATATTGAATAGGAGTGGTGAGAGAGGGCATCCTTGTCTAGTGCCAGATTTCAAGGGGAATGCTTCCAGTTTTTGCCCATTCAGTATGATATTGGCTGTTGGTTTCTTGCAAATAACTTTATTATTTTGAGATACGTTCCATCAATACCTAGCGGCATCCCTTTGTGGGTAACCCGACATTTCTCTCTGGCTGCCCTTAGTATTTTCTCCTTCATTTTAACCCTGGTGAATCTGACAATTATGGGCCTTGGGGTTGCTCTTTTTGAGGAATATCTTTGTGGTGTTCTCTGTATTTCCTGGACTTGTATATTGACCTGCCTTGCTAGGTTGGGGAAGTTTTCCTGGATAATATCCTGAAGAGTATTTTCCAGCTTGGATTCATTCTCTTCGTCGCATTCAGGTACGCCTATCAAACGTAGATTGGGTCTTTTCACATAGTCCCACATTTCTTGGAGACCTTGTTCTTTCCTTTTTACCCTTTTTTCTCTATTCTTGCCTTCCCGTTTTATTTCATTGAGTTGATCTTCGACCTCCCAGCAAGGAGGCAGCCTAGTCACTGTCTGCCTGTAGAGGCTTTGCTGAGCTGCTGTGGGCTCCGCCCAGCTGCCGAGTGAACTTCCCTGCAGTCCTGTTTATGTGGGTGTAGTTAGAACTGCCTGGGCATTGGTGGCCCACCTCTGTATTGGCGGACTCTCTCTGTAATGGCGGGTTGCCTTGGCAACGGCGGGCTGCCTCCTCAGTGGCGGGTTGCCTTGGCAACAGCGGGCTGCCTCAGCATTGGCTGGCTACCTCCGTAGTGGTGGAGTGCCTTGGTAATGGCGGATGCCCCTCCCCCACAGAGCTGGACTGTCCCGGCTTCAGCTGCACTTGCTGTGAAACTCTCAATCCAGAGAGTTTCTGATTGCTGTTCTTTTGTGGGGGTGGGACCAGCCGAGCCTGATTGCCTGGCTCTCTGCCTCAGAGCCTTTTTTTTTTTTTTTAAGTTGGTGTTCCAGTCACCTGTTGAAGAGGCGCCGGGATCTGTGTGTTTTCCTGTGCGGCGACTCACTGCGCTGGCTTAAACAGTGGCACTGAGATTCATGGTGCTTTTTTTGCCCTGGAATCCACTGTCCTGGTTCCCTGTTCAGTCCCCTTTTTAAATAGATGAATGGGCGACTTCCAGTGGCTCCAATCGCCAGCCAAAAGGGCGCCCAGAGCAGTGTATTTTGTACAGAGAACTGCTGCGCTGGGGCGCTGACAAAGCAGCCACGCGGGGCAAAGCAGCCATGCCGGCGCACACAGCCGTGCTGGTGACCGGTGGGGCTCTTCTGCCTGGGAATTTCTTCGTCTTTGGGCAATAACAATATGGCGCCCACTCACCCTCTGCGCTTTCACTGGGAGCTGCAATCCTGAGCTGTTCCTAAATGGCCATCTTGGATCGATCAAAACAACAGTGTACTTTAGAAAAAAAACAAACCAAATTTGAAAGAATAATTTTGGTAGTTGTTTTTGGACTTGATCCACGGTATGGTATTATAGTATGGCTTGGAGTTTTTATTATGATTCCAGCCAGGACATCGACATGGATATACTAAAGGGAAAGACCCTGAGAGTGTGATGCACAGACTAGTGGAATGATGTTTCACAATGTCTTATTTCCTACATTGTTGATTCTCACTGCTGGCTTCATTTCCTCCATCATATTCTAAATTATCTCTAGAAGTGTAACTCTTACCAACCCAGTTTTTTAAAAAATGCATTCTCAGTTATTTTCTTAGAAGGATGGAACACACATTCATGCATATGATAGAATGCCACATAACTTTAGAAAGTTTGGTAGTTACTGCCCAAAGCTGTCTTGAAATGAAATATGTATATATGTCAAGAGAAATTATAAATGAGACTGCCAACAGTAACTATATCTGGAGGGTAGAACGAGGGGGGAGTCAGGGACTTCAACTCATGTTGATTTAAAATTATTTTGAATAGAGATTATCTGGTGTAAAGTTATTAAGATATAAAATGGTATGCCATGGAAAGTGTCCTTTCTTGCTCTGTCCCCCAGATACTCAGTTTCCCTCCCCAGAGACAACCATGATGAACTGTTTCTGGCATAACTCAAGATACTGGGTGCATGTAAAAGCAAATACCTATTTCTTCCTGTTTTTCTACACAAAATGTTGTCCATTATTCACTTTTAAAACAAACAAAAAAAAATTTAAGAAAGCAACAGTGCTATATGAGTTTCCAAAGAAAGATTAAGACAGTGAGATGTAGATAAAGAGAAAGGTTAGAGTTTTCATTTGCTGGTCTTACCAGGCATTCTAAAGAATGTACATAAAAGGAACCAGAGTTAAGAACTCTGTTCTGTATCTTGAATTAACTTGTATGTTTCAAAGAATTTGGGAATATAGAACATGGTTAGGGATTAATGTAGTCTGAACTTAGTGTAGTAGTTACCTCTAGTTTAAAATAGTATGTCAATTTCCTTTTCATCTTAAATAGACTTAAGTAACAAATGTATGTGTTGTTTGCTTGACATTTTACATAAAAGAAATTTAATATATGAATTATAATTGTGGATTTTTAGGATATATCACATTAATTAAAACAGTGAATAATATGGTACATACATACAATGGAATATTATTTGGCCTCAAAAAGAAAGAAAATTTTGACTCTTGCTTCAGTATAGATGAAGCTTGAAGACATTATGCTAACTGAAATAAGCCAGCCACAAAAGGACAAATACTGTATTATTCCAGTTACATAAACTTTCTAGAGTAGTCAGATTCATAGAAACTAGGATGGTAATTGCTAGGGTGAGGGGGAAGAGGGGATGGGAAGGTATTGTTTTATGGGTACAGAGTTTTAGTTTGAGATGAATAAAAAAAAAAGTCATCTTACATTTTATCAAGATAGCATATTGAAAATCTAATAGAAAAATATTTATCTGCTATAATATATTACGCCATAGGTGTTATCTTCAGGAAGGCACACTGGACCTGCTAAATTAACAAATGGGAAGAAAGGGTAAGTACTTAAAGACATTTACAACTTCAGATTTCAAGACATTTTTCAGGCCTTTGGGCTGGGAGACATGTCATCTACCCCAGAAAATTAGGTAGGCCTCTAGCATCACACGCTCTGGGGAACAACTTTTCATATCTACCTGTGTTAATCATTCTAGTGTTTAACAGTCTTTCTAATCTTTAGAATGTGCTTATAAATTCATTTTGTACCTGGTGGGTCAAGCTTTCTTGTCTAGTCTTTGCTGGAAAGAAAATGACTAATGTATTTTGGGAAAAAAATATAAGAATATTAATGAGCTTATTTTCCAGGACCCATTTAAGAAAAATATCACATTTTAAGGCAGATTCTGGCTATTCCATCCATTCTGATTCAGAAAGTCAGGTAAGATTGAATAGATACAATATACACTAATTAGTTTTCAGGTAGAAGCTAAAAAGTAGGAATAAAATGCAAAGTATTAATTGCGCTAAGGAAGTATGAAGTCTGTTGCTTTAAAACATCTTTTCTACCTATAATAAATTGCTTGTAAATAAAGAAATTTAAAACTACATAATGTATATTTTTTTCCTATACTAACAGTTATATACAAATGTATTCTAAATGACTTTATTCCTTACAGGCTGAAACTGTACATGGGCTTGATGGTTGTGCTTCTTTGCTGAGGAACATTTTGAGAAATGAAGATTCAGGTTTTTTTTTTTAAATGCTTCTTTGCTGAATACCTTTTCTCAATTAAGTCATTATTTTGATATTAACAAATTTTTGTTTTATTAATAGGTTTAGAATCAGCATATTTAGAAAACAGATCTAATTCTAGACCTTTAGACAGCAGAAAATATGGATCTAAAAAGAAAAGACATGAAAAACATACTGTTCCTTTCATAGTCCGGAAAGAAACATGTAAGCCTTTTTTTCTCTTATTTAAAGATAATCCTTAATTGTGGGTATTTTGATCAATTATCAGGATTATGCAGTTCATTTTAATAATCAGTGTTGGTTAGGTTTATGTGTGCTTATGCCTGTCTTTTTTTATTCAGCTTCTAATTGCTGAGTGGTTATATAAAAAAAGACTGGGTTTTACAGGAGAAAAAGTTCAAACTCAGAATGACTTTTGGGAAGTATATAGAGTTAGTTTCCTCTGCCACTTGTTTTCATAGATAATCACAAATTGGCTGTAATTCAGGTGTATACTTATTGTTGTTGCTTTAAAATTATTATGTTAAAAAAAAATATATATATATGTATCCTAAGTTGGTCAAGCTGATCTCAAGTTACACAGTTAGGATACATGGTGCATAAGAAGGTATAATTGGATCAATAAGGAAAGAGCCTCCTGCTCATTGATGGTGAATGTAGCCAAGGGTACTTTACACCCTGACGGCTAACTTTTCCTGGTTTAGAACAAGAAAGTTTTGATTTTGTTGTCCCTTGGAGGCCTAGAGGACAAGATCGCCCAAAATGAAGATGAAAAAGTCCACAATGAGAATTCAGATGGATGAGAATTAGACTAGCCACTTCTATAGTTCAGGTGGGCCAGAAATGTCAGCACTGTAGTGCAAGCTTAGATTCAGCTTGGGCAAGGAATGAAGTTTAGAAAGTCATCTAAGGCAGTAACCCTGTGTCTTAAGAGATCAGAATTCAAGCAAGGAGGCTGAGAAAGAGTAGAGCATTCATGGGACTAGGAGTTGATGTTTCAGATAGTCCCAGGATAGAGAACTAAGGCAGGGGAAACCTAACTCATCTTGGAGGTCAGTAACATTAGCCTTATATTGTCTTGACCTGCACTATTCAAGATGGTAGCCATGGCCACATGTGGCTATTCAGCACCTGAAATATGACTAGTACAACCAAGGAATTGAATTTTTAGTGTTATTTAATTTAAATTAATTTAAAATGAAATTCTAAAACTGAAAATTGATCCAGGTATTATAAAACTTTTAAGTATGTTTGGAATAACTTGGGCATGTGAACCTACCTTTTTAAGTGTAAATTTTATTAAATCTAAATATAGACCAAGTATTTCGGATGATAATTTAGCATTTAGATTGTGCTTTGTGTAAAATGCATGCTAGATTTAGAAGATTAAATACAAAAAAATTCAGTTATTTATATTATACACTGAAATGTTAATATTTTTGATATATTGGCTTAAATATGAAAAGTAATTTTACCTCTTCTTTTATGTGGTTACTGGAAATTTTAAGTTATATATATGGTTTGTATTATATTCCTATTGGACAACATTGGTCTAAGTCAGCTCAGCACACTACAGCCAGTTTTATAAGTAATGTTTAATTATTTTATTTTGTAAATAAGATTTTATTAGAATGCAGCCAAGCTAATTTATTGTGTTTTTATTAGCTGTTTTTGTACTGCAGCGGCAGTGTTGAGTAGTTGTGACAGAGATCATCTGGCCTGCTAAGCCTAAAATATTTATTTGACCTCTTAAGAAAAAAAGTGCTAAACCCTGGTCTTAACTCTTCAAGTTGAGGCCTTTTTATTGCAGCCCAGTTGAGAAAGAAAGGAGCAATAGCACCTGTTCCTCCAGTCTCCTACTTTTTGTCTGTAGGCGGGTTATTTCTTATCCAGGGCACCTTTCCTCAAGGATCTATCATTTGAGATATATGTGGCTGAGAGTGGGTGTCATGGTAGCAACTTGTTGGATCCTGACTTAACTGCTTCTGTCAGAGTTCCAACAGGAAACACATGGCAACACTCAAATTGAGGTAATTCGAGGAGGGTTTATTTTATTTACAAAGGGACTCATGGTAAAGGTATGAGTAGGGCATAGGAAAACCACAAGTTTTGCCTGCTGGGTCTTGCTAGCAGCAGCAGCAGAGCTGTTATCATCTCTAGGCCATAAGGGATTAGGAGAGTTACTAGACCTAGAAAGTGGTATTGCTTATAGAATATGCTACCTTGAGAAGAGCAGTTAGCTTCATTGAAAGGACAAAGTCAGCCCAAGGTGACCTCATAGAAAGGGAGCAGGGTAAGTGTATTTCCTGACTTCATGCTTCTTCCTTTTCTTCATATGCCAAGACTCCCATTGGATTGAAGCCCTACTGATGTATATCAGGTCTGGAATTTGACTCTTACAAGCTAGTAAGTTAGTTTCACTGTGTCATGGATGCTAGCAGAAGACACAAAACTACTGGTCAGAGACAAGGGACTTTATTACTCACAGCATAGGAAGCAGTATGTGCATCAGCATATTTGTGTTGGTTCTCATTCACCCTAATTCCCAATGGAGTGATTCGGTGGATCCAAATGGATGCTGCACATCCTTTAGGTGTAGGTGGCAGCTGAGGAACACTAAGCTTGGGGAATCTGCCACTTTGATAGTAAGCAGTAATCAAGCCTGTGCTTGCCCCAGAGGGAAATATTACCTTATCCCTCAAGGTTGCTCACTGCAAACACAACCCTGAGAAGTGGCCCAGGTAAAGAGCTTAGGTCAAAGCCTTGCTTTTTTGGTATATACAGCAAGACATATTAGCAGGAGGAGTGATCCATGAAGGACTGTCTCTTTGTAATCCATATAGATCAGCATTCCAGGGAGAGCAAGGTGAAGACCAGTAGAGGTGGATTTGGATTGGCAGATGGAAGATCCTGGCATTCTGGGTCGGTAGCATTAAATTCTTATTTGGATTACAGCCGAACTGGCAGTTCTGGCTTGTGATCAGGGTGCAGTATTCTTACTGTGTTTCTCCCATATTTTCATAATTAAAGGGAAGGACCTACTTCCATAGGACAGTCTGCCTTAGGGTTGCAATATTAGAAATTATTTCCTAATTTCTAAGTGTTCCTAGGTTTAACTCATTAGAAACCTCTGACTGTTCGATTCAACTGCTCTGTTGTTTTTGTAATTTACCAAATTGTAGCACTTTCTAGAAACAAACATCTGTATGTGTGTGTGTGTGTGTGTGTGTGTGTGTGTGTGTGTGTGTGTGTGT